GAACCGTTCGTGGGCAGGATTAAAGGAGTCAATGGTGATCCGTTTTGGAGGAAGAAACCGGGGAACCGTCTTCGAGAGACTGGCGGCCTGTAAACAATCAGGAACCGTGGAGGAATACATCAAAGATTTTGAAGTCTTGGTCGGCCAAACGGAAACAATACCCGACGCACAACTAATGGGGTACTTTATGGCAGGGTTGCAGGAGGAGATCCGTAATCAACTCAGGTTACTTGATCCGCGGGAGTTGATGGACGTTATGAGACTGGCAAAGGACGTGGAAGAGTTCCAAGGTGGTACGAAGGCTGGAGGTGGAATCATGATCAAGAGCCAAACGTAGGGGAAAACAAACGGTTCAGTGACGAGGACGGAACCCAGTCGGCACAATCAAAACCGAACGAGAGTCACAGAGAGGGGGCGGACAGGAGGAAAGGAAGGGACACCAGGGAGAGAAGTGGATCGATCGTCTTTGAACAACAAAGGAAGGAACGTGCGGGATTTACCTTATGCAGAGTATGTTAAACGAAGGGAAGAAGGGAGGTGTTTCAGGTGTGGGGAACCGTTCGGTCCTGGCCATTGTTGTCCAGAAAGGACGAAGGTCAAGAAGGGAGGAAGGTGACGATCAAAGGAGATCCTACTTTAACTCGGAGATTGGTGGAACCCGAAGCATTGTTCAAAATGAAAGAAGTGGAGGCCTGGATGTTGGTGTGGGAGCTTGGGGAGACAGAAAAGGACGAGGGAAGAAAACCGTTCGGTCAAGGAGAAGGACTGTTCGGTCAGCAGCTGACGAAGAAGCAGAATCATGCAATGGATCAGATTCTGAATCAGCACGCGAGGGTATTTCACGAGCCTAGCGGACTGCCTCCAGACAAGGGCATGGTTCATCAGATTCCATTAAAAGAGGGTACGGATCCAGTGAATGTAAGGTCGTACCGTTACCCCCATGTGATAAAGGGGGAGATTGAAAAGCAGGTGGCCGAGATGCTAAAAATTGGGGTCATAAGGCCAAGCACCAGTCCATATTCGAGTCCGGTAATACTAGAGAAGAAGAAGCATGGCAGCTGGAGATTTTGTGTGGATTATAGAGCCATTAACCGGGCAACGGTACCTGATAAATTTCCCATCCCACTGATAAAGGAACTGTTAGATGAATTGAGAGGGGCCAAGTATTTTTCGAAGGTGGATTTGAAGTCCAACTACACTCAAATTCGGATGGGAGAGGGGGACATAGAGAAAACAGCCTTTCGGACTCACCAAGGTCGTTACGAATTCATGGTGATGCCGTTCGGTCTCACCAACACGCCAGCCAGCTTTCAGAGTGCGATGAACAGCCTGATGCAGCCTTATCTAAGGAAATTCGTACTCGTGTTTTTTGATGATATATTGGTATATAGCCGATCCTGGAAGCAGCACTTAGAGCATGTTGATTTAGTGCCAGGAAGGCTCGAGAAGAACAGATGGGTGGCCAACAGCAAAAAATGTGAGTTTGGCAAAACTCAGATAGGCTATCTAGGTCATCGAATATCATAGAGGGGTGTAGAAATGGATCAGGACAAAGTAAGGGTTGTGGTAGATTGGGAGAAGCCCAAGACGGTGAAGGCTTTGAGGGGATTTCTGGGCCTGACAGGGTACTATAGGCGATTTGTGAAGGATTATGGGAAAATTGCCAAACCTTTGACCGATCTTAAAAAAGGGTAGTTTACATGGACCAAGCAAGCGGAGGAAGCCATGTCAAGATTAAAGAAGGCCATTACCACTGCACCAGTACTGGTTCTGCCGGACTTTGACCAACTGTTCCATATTGAGTGTGATGGATCAGGAAGAGGGATGGGAGCGGTTCTCACCCAAGGGAAGAGGCCCATTGCTTTCTTCAGCAAGGCGTTATCGGAGGGGTCGTTGAGTAAGGTTGTATATGAGAAGGAATTGATGGCGTTGGTCCTGTCCATACAACACTGGAGGCCCTATCTCTTGGGTCAAAAATTTGTGGTCCACACTGATCAAAGGAGCCTGAAATACCTATTGGAGCATCACATCACCACTCAGAATCAGCAGAATTGGATTGCGAAGCTCCTAAGGTATGACTTTGAGATTGTGTACAAGTCAGGAGTCACCAACAGGGTAGCAAACGCCCTATCCCAGAAGGAGGAGGAGGACCTGGAGGAGGAAAAGGAATTGAGGATTGTGGCCAGACCTTATTGGCAAGATTTCGGGGAGATTCTGGAGGAGGTTGAAGCGGATGAAGCGTTACGGAAAGTGATAGAAGACTTAAGAAACGACCCCAACTAACATCCCTCGTTTACTCTAGAACACGATCGGTTACACACTATAAGGGGAGGCTGGTGATTTCAGCCCGCTCGGCCTGGGTGCCTAAGTTGATGGCAGAGTTTCATACAACTCAAACCGGAGGTCACTCAGGGGTCTATCGGACTTATCGCAAGGTAGCACAATCTCTTTACTGGATAGGAATGAAGAAAGTCGTGACTGACTTTGTTGCAAGCTGCCTGGTATGCCAACAGCATAAATATTTGTCATCCTCTCTGCAGGGATTGCTGCAACCTTTACCCATACCCAACACCGTTTGGGAGGAGATAAGTATGGATTTTATTGTGAAGTTGCCGAAGTCCCACGGGTATGATGCGGTGCTGGTAGTAGTGGACCGCCTCAGCAAATATGGACATTTCATACCACTGAAACATCCCTATTCCGCCCGCACCATAGTTGAGGTGTTTGTAAAGGAGATTGTCCGGTTGCATAGGGTACCAATATCTATCGTGAGTGATAGGGATCCACTGTTTCTGAGTATTTTTTGGAAAGAGTTGTTTAAATTGCAGGGAACTCAACTAAAGATGAGCACAACCTATCATCCTGAATTCGATGGTCAAACTGAGGTAGTAATGTTAGGGATAGAGAGAGGGAGAGAGAGAGGGAGAGAGAGGGGGACCAAACGGTAGAAGGCGGGTAATGTTAGGGGCTGGAAAGTGTATAAGAGAAGAAAGTATAGGAGGGAAAGAGAGGGGGACCAAACGGTAGAAGGCGGGAAGCTAGTTGGCCGAGCGATAGACGAGGAAGGACGACTAGGCCGAACGGTAGAAGGCGGGGAGCTAGTTGGCCGAGCGATAGACGATAGAGGACGACCAGGCCATGAGAAAGCATCCTAATTGCCAATTAGGATGGGTGGGAAATTAAATAAAGTGATAAGAGAAATATTTTGAGAAGATATTCAACAGAGAATAATTAGAGTAATAGAGCCATATCTTAGTATATTATTACGTATAAATTAAATATAGTAAATAAGGCTAGAGATATTCTTATCAGATAATTATAATAAATAGTGTTATTTTATATTATTCTTTACCTTTTTGGGAGGGAATTAATTAGTACAAATAAAGGAGAAACCTAGGGTTAAGAGTATACTTTTGATTAGTGAGTTTTGTAAAGAGAGGTTATGCTCTCAGGTAAGAAGATCCTGCTCTCAGTTATTGTTTGTTTTCCTTGATACAGTTATTTCCATTTAATAAAGAGGTTTATTCAGCTATTTATCATTGTTCATTATCTGTGAGAGTGTGAGTGGTTGTGTTTGGCTAGTTTACGTACTCAGGTACGTAACACACACGATATTCCTTGGACGTGACTTTTTAATCCAAATTCAAATCTCAAGAGGACTTGAGAATGATTGTTTTAGCAAGATCTTGGAACATAAATCCTTGATGTCTATTTGATACCATTGCAACTGGAGTAGGTGTTCTTATCTGTATTGATGCTGCTTCTATCAACAAATATATGGTCACTTTCCAAGAATCTTGGTTGATATAGATCTACTAAAAGAACTGTCGGTGCAGGACTTGGTAAAAAGCAAAGGATTTGCTTTCTTTTTCTCTTTTTCTTAAGAAAGATTGTCTGAATTTTGCTCTCACGTCTTCTTTCGACCCATTCATAAAACTTTCCAGCAATTGTTTTCTCCCAAACCTTGAACAGAACCAACATATTTCTCAAACTTAGTAACATATTCTTCACCAAATTATCTTGCTTCAAAGCTCATGATGACTAGAAGGGATTACTCGACACAGGTTGAAATCCTCCATTAATGCCACCTTGAATTTTTCCAAACCCGTATTTGGGTTGCAAGATTCCCAACACTGAAACCACCTTAGTGCATCACTTTTTAATGCCACCATAGTTGCCTCCATTTATTCACCAAGCATAACCCATCACCCTATACCAAAAAAACGTTGGTGCTTTGTCGTCTACCAAACACAACTTCTCCCCAAAACAAACAGATTTGGATTTAGAACAATAACCACAAGAATATTTTTATTGATCTTAAAGAACTTCTCATCCAAACAGTTCTCAATTGAACAAATCCCAGGTATTTCAAGGAACCTGAACCCTTCCCACAGAACTATTCAATTTTCCTCTTAGTACTAACAAACTTCCTCTATTAGTAGTCTTTACTCTACTAGACAGCTGACCCAACTATTAAAAATTTAATTTTTCTTATTTTTTTCTCTGGTATGCGATTTTAATAGAAGGATGTCCTGTTCTATCAAAATCTTGCAATGCTACCTTCCATTGAATATGTATCTGCGAATAGATGTAAGTGAGAAAGAGTGATCATGCTTGTTAACCTGTAAAGATTGGTTTGGAGGCTGCTTGATATTAAATGTAAACTCCTCATTCCATGTTGGCTCTTTTGTCCTGCCATCAATTAATTTTACATAAATGAACCCAATCTAATTGGAAAACATTATACAAAGATACAGCTGAAGTTAAGACATTAAATTTTAGCAAAGGAAGTGGAAGACAAGTACTCAGTGGGATTTTATGAATTAAAAACAAATGGTCCCTGCATGTTATTCTTGTATACATTTAGCCAATATACAAATTTGAAAGAAAATGATAATCCAAGATACTTCAAACTTAGGGAAATGCTTCCAGGGACAATATGAAAGATTTTTTAAAGAAAAGTCAAAACAGTCACATAGCACAAACTATGCAATGTAACATGGACTCATAACCATGAGATGGTGGCCTTTGAATAAGTGAAATGAAGAAAAAACAGAAATGTGATAAATGCTCACCCCCATTTGATACCGCTTTTAGCGGTCTGAGAATCCAGTTGTATGACAACATATGGGTCACTTGTTCCCTGGATGACACCAAAATAACCAATATAAATAATTAATAGAAATTATAGCAATAAGCGGTTGTATGAATTAACTAAAAATTTGGGGGCAACAGGGATGATTGTCAGATACAAGTCGAAGTAAAATGTAGTACACATTTCATATCATTAGAGAACTATAATTAGGTTGGTAATTTAAAAGAAATAAAATAACCAACCCAGGGATCCATGGCAGGAAAATTGAACCCTTTTTTCAACTTTATAAAGAGTTGATCATCATAAATTTCATGAATAAATTCCTTGTAGATACCCAAAATAATGTTGTTAAACATGCCATTATTCTAAGGAAATCTTGTAAAAATAATACTACTGCAACAACAACAACAACAAGCCTTGTTTGATTAGATAAGGGCAACAACATAGGATCAAGTGACACCATCAAATTTGTTAGATACATTATAGATATATTTTATATATGGACTTGGACCCATGCCTATGTTGTGTTATGTATGATGTGTATATATGTTCCTCAATTTTTTAAATACATAAAAGGGGATTCTTTTACATGAATACATACCATTTATTTCTACATAGTATTTAGAGCCTAATAAAAAATTTGTGCCTTCCCATGGACCCAATGATCACTAATGCCAATTTTCTAAGAGAGGATACTCTTTGATTCACATCAAAGAGACGTTGAATGTCATTAGCAAAGATAAAATGAATTTACAATATATATAAGTGGGTGCAAATCTCATCTTACAAGCCTATTTGTAGGATTAAATTAGCCTTTAAGAGTATATGGGAAAATGCAAACCTCACCTTATAAATTGGTTTTGTAAGGTTGATTTAGGCTTAAAGTCTACTTCCTAAGATCGTATAAGAGTCATTTGATGCCTAATGCCTATCTAGTGAAATTTGTAGTTTGTTATTTGTTGGGCCTATTGTGCTATTTGTCCGAACCACCCATTAATGTTTACTCCCATACTCAAGATGCATATGCCTAAACGTGAGCGATGTGTGTTGAAGATCCCATATTAACTATAGATAAGACAAAATTACAGTATATAAGTGAGTGTGTTAGGTTCCTGAGTATGAAACCTAACTATGAACACTAACAGTAGGTAGAAATAGTAAAGAAAGAATGAGTTCTATTATTCACAGCAATAGAATTCTCTTTACAAAGAATGGTTGGGAGCATAACCTCCTTGGTTGGGAGCATAACCTCCCACACAAGACTCAAAAGTGCCTATCTGTACTATCCAATTCCAAAAACTCCCCTTTGACAACATAACAGAGTACTATTTATACAATTCCTCTTTCTTCTATCCTAAACCCATTACCCGTTATATCCTCTCATCCTATATCCTATCATTACACCCCACTACAAAACAACCTTGTCCTCAAGGTTGGAATCAGGAAGCTTGATCTCATGGCTCCTCTTCATCATCGTGTTACCATATGAAAGGAACCCACTGTTTATGCCCTCTAATTCAAGTCAGGAGGCTAGGGTGGTGGCAAATCCTCCCCCACACCTGAAACACCTTCCCTCCTCTCTCCGTTTCAGGAATTCTGAGTAAGGCAGATTCTGGGCGTTCAGTACTGACCCCACACTCTCGGCGGCTCCCGATCTGCCTGGGTGATTAGCCTCGGACCGCTCGACGACTCCTGATCGGTCGGCTCAACAACTCTCGATCAGCCTAGGTTATAGTGATTGGTCTCGGACCGTGTCACCTCACTGCTCGTTCGTCCCCAAGACGACTGGTCTTCTATCCCGCCCCCGTTCCCCACCTTTGCGCCTCCCTGGAACTCCTCAACATCCCTTGCGATCCGCATCGCCACCATTAATTCATGTGGGTCATGCGGTCAAACTTGATTCCAGATGTCCTCTTGCAATCCCGCAAGAAAATATCTTAATAGCTGCTCGTCCAGCACTCTCTTCGTTCGACCCGCCAATATCTTGAAGTCTTGTACATACTCATCCAGCATCCCCGTCTGTTTCGATGTCGTCAAACGCTTAACAATGGTTCCAAACCTTATCACCAAGGCTTCCTTCAAACCATCCCAAGAAAGGTTCATGGTTTTCGCCTTCCAGAATCTGAACCAATACCCTGCACTTCCCTTCATACTAATGTGCGTCAGACGCACCTTTTCTTCCTCCGTCACCACTTGAAGTTCGAAGAACTTCTTAGCGCGATTGATCCAATTCAATGGGTCGAGTCCCCTCGAAGATGGGTAATTCCGCTTGCTTCCTCCCACTGTATTGCCTCTCATGATGTTCAACTTTTCTTCCACCATTGTTTTCTTCTCGCGTGTCCCTCCTGTCCTCATCAACGGACACTTGGCTCCCATTTGAGTGTCCATCCTGGTTCCTGTTTCGTCCACCCAATATTTGCATGATTTCTTGTAAGTCTTGACGCATCACGGCCATTGCTTGCGATATTTCTTGCATATTTCTTTTCCATTCTGCCATGCTCCTTTTGTCGGTCCTCTTCTCCAAGGTATTGTCTCTTCCTTCCCTCACGCTTATCCTCCCTTCGATTCTATTCTCCGAAGCGGTAGCTTGCCCACCGTCTTGCTCTGCCTTTAATTGGATCCGGCAGATCGGACCAATTTGTTAGGTTTCTGAGTATGAAACCTAACTATGAACAATAACAGAAGGTAGAAACAGTAAAGAAAGAATGAGTTCTATTATTCACAGCAATAGAATTCTCTTTACAAAGAATGGTTGGGAGCATAACCTCCCTCACAGGACCCAAAAGTGCCTATCTGTACAATCCAATTCCAAAAACTCCCCTCTAACAACATAACAAAGTACTATTTATACAATTCCTCTTTCTTCTATCCTAAACCCATTACCCATTATATCCTCTCGCCCTATATCCTATCAGACTGCAAATCTCACCTTAAAGGTCAATTTTGTATGCGTTTTTTCCAAAAAAAAACATGTCTTAAAGCATCTAAAATATTTATAGGACAACTCATTCAATTGAATACCCCAAAACAACACAAAACTGGAAGTCCAATTTCTTCCATAGAGGTTTATCTTCATTCGAAAGAGCACTAACTTCCTTTTTATAAAGATCTGGTATTTTTAACTAAGGAACCATAACTCCATAGATGTGGACCAAGAAAAGTAGTTTGTCTAGGTCCAATTTAGTTGTAGTGCTAATAGTAGGAGTAGAATAAAAAAAGGAGCAAATGTAGTGTAAGTTATTCCAAAGACAAAGCCATAAACAAATTTGTGAAGAGAGGGAAAGACCCAAATGCATGAGGAGACAACCTTGACTAGCTATATAAGTGCATTGAACCAAGAAGACAAGGGTAGGAACATGCTCAAAAGACACAACAAGATAAACAACAACAAACATTTGTCATTCTGACACTAGGACGTGGAGCACCTTGGACGCGCGCGCACACACCTAATGCAAGGTTGACAAGGACCACTACATGGTAAGGCATCACGCAACCACCAAATTTGAGTCATACTCCTTAAGACACACCTAACCTTGACTTCACCAAACAAAATGGCAACAACAAACAACAAATGGAGACAACAGAAAGTGGTGGTCCAGCTACATGGCTCTTAATACCAACTTGAATTTGAATGTGATTAAAAAACATTGATTTACATACTCAGCTAATGTATATTTTCTATTAATGAAGTAGGAAAGAGTACATTACAAGGAAAAGTTATATCCTATAAGACTCAACGAGTTATGCTATGTACATATACCCAAAAAACAAGTTTAGAGAAGTAGTACAATACAATAATAATCATAAGTTTAACAAATATTTTAGAGGAGATTGGAGGCTAACGAATTCCAAACCCATTGACACAACTATAGATCCCAATGTTAAACTACTAATATGTTAGGAAGAGCCACCTTCAAATCTTGAGAGATACACGAGACTGGTTGGAAACTAATCTTGATATCTCCTTTGTGCTTTGTGTGTTCAATCAGTTTCTTAATGCATCATGTGCAAGAAATTGGAATTAAATCCATTCACGTTCTTAAGTACATTAAAGAAGCCCCTATACAATAATCATACTCAAGTTGTAGGGTACTCAGATGCAGATTGAAAAGCTGCACCTACTAACAAGTGATCCACATCCAAATAAGAAGTAGAGTTTACTGGCAAGATCGAACAAAAAAAGTAGAGAACAAAAATATGGCTTCTGCCTCTTGTAAGCTTATTTGACTCAAATAGCCTCTTAAAGAACTAAGATTTGGAAAGTTACAAGATGATTCTCATTTGTGATAAACAAGTTGCTATTCATATTGCCTCAAGTTTATTATTTCACAAGACGACCAAACATATTCAAATATACTATCACTTCACCAAGAAAAGATTTTACATAGAGACATTAGCACTCAATTTGTTAATTTTAATGATCAACTAGCAAGTATCTTCACCAAATCATTGTAGGGCCCTATGATTGACTATATACGTTACAAGCTTGGTATATATGATTTCTATGTTTTGGTTTGAGAGGGGTGTATTAGTTATATTTTGTAAGGGCTTGAGTCCATCCCTATGAAATATTAGGGGAGTAATTTTGCATGTGTTCCTCAATTTTGCTAATACATGCAAGGGGGTTCTATCATATGAATATAAGTCATTTCTCACCAAAAGACTATATAAAAAATGCATTTGATATAGTCAAGTAATAAAAGTGTCAAAAAGCTATTTCTGGTTTTATTCGTGGAGGATAAATTGCTCTTCAAAAGAATACATAGACATAAAAACTGAAAATCCTGATTTATGATGGATATAATATATCCCTACAATTCAGGACCGATGAGCATGTACAATAAATATAAAATATAATGTCAGCCTATCACTCATCCTATCTATCCTCCTAATTATGAAATTAATTTTTTTCTAGTTATGTAATTAATTAAAACTGTACAAGAAAATATTAATTGTAGTATACATCAAGGAATTCTGACAAAAAGAACAGCGGCTGCATGTGCAACCATGAAACTTAGGAATGCAAATGAATCATACTCAGAAAGGTAGACTGTCTTGCAACCAGCAGCATCAACTTCCCTCCTGCCTATATTTTCCTGCAACATATTGTAATGGGGAGAAAAAGAAAAGGTTTGAAAAGGAGTTTGGAAATATCATTAAAAGAAACCATTATTTTCATTGTAACAGTGATCGATTTATTCCATTCAACTCATAATATCATGAAGAGATAGCAAGAATCATATAATTAGCATACATATTTATCTATTTCTGTTTTCATTTCAAAGTCTATAATTAAACCATATGTTATAAACTTACTAATAATTTTATATTAGCTTATTTTTCACAACAGAAGAAGAGTAAAATATATAAAAATAATTCCTGAAATTTAGTCTTTCAATTAACAACATTACCTAACTACATTAGAGATCAAATTAATTGACAACCAACAAAATCAAGTACCAAATTGAATAACACATGCCTAAGTTGAGGTCTAAAGTGACTGTCCGCAATTACCATTAGTAATCAAATTGTCAAACTAACGGATATTATCAATTTCAAGCAACAAAAATTCTTTCTCTAAAGCTCATGGAATAAGATGGACAATTGTTATAATTTCCTATGCTTCTTCTAGTAGTAACATAGCGCAACCCATCAGACTAAAGATAATCACCAAAAGGCCCAGCCATTTTCGAGGACTATTTGACTCTGCATGCTGAGAAATAGACAATAGGTACTAGAACAAAACATAGTTGCAACAACCACATGCTTATATGAAATATCTTTCACATATTCTATTTTCTGTTTTCGGATTTCACCGACCAACAATCATTGGATTTATAAATACATTAAACATTTGATTGAGAAATGAGAAATGGAGGAGAATTATCTTTTGCCTTGAATTAGCAATATCTTAGTATACTCTTAGAATATTTTCCCTATCCACTAGTCCAACCTATCAGGCCAGAGCAAAACATAAAAAAATTGTCACTAACCATTTGGAGGATACTATCCAACATCTTACACAAACACAATCTACCCATACCCACACATTATGACCTAACTCTGAAGGTTAAGGCATTCTAAACCATTTAGACACCCGCACCACCTACTCCACTACCTCTTTATAAACCAATTCTTCCTCAATATCCCACCACCCTCCAATCGGGTTGGAAGTTCTACATTTTGATGGTAATGATCCCCTGGGGTGGATTATCTAAAACCAACCAATTCTTAGACTATAAGTGTACTCCAAGCAATGAATGTATCAACGCCTCTTTCAACATGGACAGACCTGCATTAAGTTAGTCCCAATGGACGTTTTGGAATGGCTTTATCACTTCTTGATCGGGTCTTCTTCATGCTATAGAAATTCGTTCTCCACCATCTTTATACAATGACCCTTGAACACAGTCCTACTTTCTTTTCTTTGTTTCAACAAATCACTCAGGACCTGCTTCTTTCATAGAATATACCATACATTAGGACCTCATTTTCTTTCAAGTGAATATATAGCTCATCCATAATAGACCTTGTGTTTCATTGTTCCGTACTAGAATTGCATCAAAGACTTGCTCCCCTCTACTATTGTTGATATTCATCCTTTACTTCAGCCTCTTTCAATCCTTGACTCCAAGATTGACCTCCCCACTTCTCCTCCCACCAAGCTTGTTCTTGTTTACTGGATCGTCATCTCACCCCAAGATAACAACTGGGAGAACTAGATGAGCTCCACACTACTTTCCAAAGAATAAGTGGGCTTGAGAACCGCTAGTCCACGAAGGGAGCAAGACACGATGGGGAAGAGTATATGTAATAAAGAAGAATTGGATGACTGAGGTGACATAACTAATGGGTAGGACAGTTAGAGGAGAGAGTATACTATTTTGTGGGAGAAAATCAATCATGGAGGGAGAAAGGACAGCTAAGGAGGCCCTTTTTTCCTGAAGGAGAGGAGGAGGAATTGCTTGGGCTGTTTTATAGGAGCCTAGCTCAGTGCAGTGGGATTTGTTATCCTTCTGTATTTTGCTTTCATTGACAAATAATACAAATGTGAGTGATTACTTCCTTTTTCTACTTTCTTCTGTAACAGTGTGATTGTTACCAGAAAGGCCTAACAATTTCAAGGATTATATTTGACTCTGTGGGAAGGAAAAGAGGATCACTAGAAGGCACTAAAACAAAAGCTAGTTGCAATGGACACATGCTTTTACGAAATAACTTTTACAGATTCTACTTTCTGTTTCCGGATTTCGTGGACAACCAACAATTAGATTTTTAAATCTTGTAGCCTTTGTTCACTTGAATGGATTTGGGAAAGAGTGATTGAATAGATTTGAGAGGATTTGAAGGTAATTTTTTTTTTGTTTATTTGAGTGGATTTGGAGGTAAGTGAGAGTGAATTTGGAAGTAAAGTTTGTGAGAATTAGTGTAGGATTTGATTGATATAACAGATTAAAAAAATTTACTTCCAAATCCACTCTCACTTACCTCCAAATTCACTCAAATAAACAACAAAAAATTTACCTTCAAATTCATTCAATCACTCTCCCCCAAATCCATTCAAGTGAACAAAATGTTAAAGATCTGATTGAGAAAATAGAAGAAGAATTATTTGTTATCGTGAATTGGCAATAGCCTAGTATAACCTTATAACTGTTTTCCCTATGATCTCCCCTGTCTTTTAGAAGGGACTAGAAACCTGCTAAGCTGTATTAAGTTTATAACATTATTGTACAACTTTTACCTTCTGGAGGGTAGATTCCCTTGGTCTAATGGTGAGTTGTGATTGTTTGTGTCGGTTATATATTCTCCCTACTATGCATTCTGAAAATTAATGAATTGAGCATTCTCAGCTATGCCTATTTGGTAGTAGTCACCTTTTGGTCCCTTATATCCAAATTTGTGTAAGAGTGTATGGACTAATTTGATACTAAAAGAATTAGTAAAAAATATATATTAGAAAAAATTGTATTTCCATTGATATTAAAATTGTACAGCAATGATAAAATGATAAGAAAAATTTAAAAAAATACTACCAAATCAGTCACTAAAATTTTATAATTGTAATTAAAAATCAATCTCAATCCTGAAATTTTATTAGAAAATAGATTACGTAAATATAGTGTAAGACAATTATACACTGTTATTCAATCACAATTGCCTACTACAAGTTTGATGATTTTTTTAATACCTTGAGAAAATATTAACTGTTTACATTCTTTTAACGTTAAAAATGAGATTTTAAAATGGCACTCTTGCCATCCCAAAATGACTTCAATATTGCCTAAAGAATAAATCAAGGCGATATTAATCATACTGTTCTTAGTATGCTCCAATTAAATTAACATAAACACGTAATCAAATGACCAATTATCACAATTATAATTAATATTAATATTATTATATTCAATATTATTAATATTATTATAACAATATATAAATATAAAATATACAATAAGATCTATCAATATAATCTTAGCCTTAGCCAAAAAAAAAAAGATAAAAGAAACTCTTCTAGCACTGCAATTATGAACTATTAGCACAGCTTCACTATTCCCGAAAGTTTCTTCTATTTTCTACAGAAAAGAACAAAAAGAACACGTACAGGTGGAGTTGTGTATGCTTCGAAAGCGAAACCAGCGAGAATAACCGCAAGATTGATATCGAACGGAGGCCGATCATCGTCCTCAGGAACAGAAACCCGCTGAAGCTGGGAACCAGTTTTTGAGGAGCAGCAGATTGAAGGAACTCGCCTCCTCCGCGCGGTCGAGAAAACGCGCAATTTTCCGAGAAAACGAGGAGGAAAGGTGCGAGAAAATATTGGCCTGCGAGGAGGCGGAAGCGTGGGACAAAGAGGAGAGAGAGCGTAACGGAATTGGACGGAGGACATTTTCTTGTTACATTACAAGAGGCGGGAAGAGAGAAAGATAATAAACATTTATAGAAGAAATAGAAGGAAGGGAGTGGCAAAAGGTGTAATTAAGAGGAATGGAAAGGGTAAATGGTTGAGAATAGACAGTGGATTTTCGTGTATAGCCAAGGGAAGAAGTGTGCTCGTTTCTGGTTAGTTCTGGAAAGCATGTCAACAGGTTTCTTTCCATGGACGGTGACACTTTTCTACGGCTTTTATTCCTTTATTTTTTATTTATATAGGTGTGTTTAATGTTATAATTTAAGGGCTTCTTTTACACGTGAAGAAACAAATTACTTTCTNTACATCCAGTACACTTCATGCTTTCACACACATCATACAAGTATCAATTAAATTACTAAAGCTTCCCTTACCTGGTTCAGTAGTGAACGTCCTAAGCGAAATGCTTTTTAACTTGTCCAAATACAGTTTCCTACCCTCAACGTGCTTCTCAAGTGTTTCACTAAATCTAACCACAAGAAACGTAGAAGAACTTTTAGCTTATACTCTAACATGCAGCTGTACCAAGGTTCGCATGCAACTCAGATAAGGGTGTTTAGAGTTTGAGAACTTACCGGTCACAGAACTCTAAAGCGTTCGGTTCCAGTGAAAGCTCACGACGTCGTGAATGGTTCTACGGTTTCTGAAATGGGATCGGAGGAGATGATGGTGAGTTATCTTAGAGAGAAGATGAAAGAGTTTTAGAGAGAAGGAGGAGAAAATGCAAGGTTTGATTCAGAGGAAGAAGAAAGGTGCATGCGGGAATGGGGAGAAGGTTTTTCAGAAATCAGTTTCCTTCCCAAATCAAACGAACACACTCTCCCCTTCCGACACCTGGCTTCCCATACTGACTTCAGAACCTTCCACCGCGACACTTGGCAAGGGGACAGAGAGAATGAAAATGCGTTTTTAATGCACTGCAGAGGGGTTTTCGGGATTCATTACTGAACGTGACAGGTAATTATGGGTGTGCACTTTCTTGGGTCTCACATGTAACATATATTTTTTCACTAGTTTAATTAGTAATTATAAAGAAAATGAAATTAAAATAATTTTGAAAAGTATTTCAAATCAATAAAATAAATGAATTTTGAAAGGTGAGTGAATTTTAAAATTTTCTCACTCTACTCACGAAAACAATGGTGACTCTCTAAATTGAAAGTTTAGTTGAGTCAACTTATACTAAAAGTTCAATCAAGTAAGTTTGAGTTTAAAGTTTAACTAGGTCAAATATAAGTTAACAAAATTAATGGATGATGATGTGACACAACTTAAAGCTAACGAGGNCCCAAATCCATTCAAGTGAACAAAATGTTAAAGATCTGATTGAGAAAATAGAAGAAGAATTATTTGTTATCGTGAATTGGCAATAGCCTAGTATAACCTTATAACTGTTTTCCCTATGATCTCCCCTGTCTTTTAGAAGGGACTAGAAACCTGCTAAGCTGTATTAAGTTTATAACATTATTGTACAACTTTTACCTTCTGGAGGGTAGATTCCCTTGGTCTAATGGTGAGTTGTGATTGTTTGTGTCGGTTATATATTCTCCCTACTATGCATTCTGAAAATTAATGAATTGAGCATTCTCAGCTATGCCTATTTGGTAGTAGTCACCTTTTGGTCCCTTATATCCAAATTTGTGTAAGAGTGTATGGACTAATTTGATACTAAAAGAATTAGTAAAAAATATATATTAGAAAAAATTGTATTTCCATTGATATTAAAATTGTACAGCAATGATAAAATGATAAGAAAAATTTAAAAAAATACTACCAAATCAGTCACTAAAATTTTATAATTGTAATTAAAAATCAATCTCAATCCTGAAATTTTATTAGAAAATAGATTACGTAAATATAGTGTAAGACAATTATACACTGTTATTCAATCACAATTGCCTACTACAAGTTTGATGATTTTTTTAATACCTTGAGAAAATATTAACTGTTTACATTCTTTTAACGTTAAAAATGAGATTTTAAAATGGCACTCTTGCCATCCCAAAATGACTTCAATATTGCCTAAAGAATAAATCAAGGCGATATTAATCATACTGTTCTTAGTATGCTCCAATTAAATTAACATAAACACGTAATCAAATGACCAATTATCACAATTATAATTAATATTAATATTATTATATTCAATATTATTAATATTATTATAACAATATATAAATATAAAATATACAATAAGATCTATCAATATAATCTTAGCCTTAGCCAAAAAAAAAAAGATAAAAGAAACTCTTCTAGCACTGCAATTATGAACTATTAGCACAGCTTCACTATTCCCGAAAGTTTCTTCTATTTTCTACAGAAAAGAACAAAAAGAACACGTACAGGTGGAGTTGTGTATGCTTCGAAAGCGAAACCAGCGAGAATAACCGCAAGATTGATATCGAACGGAGGCCGATCATCGTCCTCAGGAACAGAAACCCGCTGAAGCTGGGAACCAGTTTTTGAGGAGCAGCAGATTGAAGGAACTCGCCTCCTCCGCGCGGTCGAGAAAACGCGCAATTTTCCGAGAAAACGAGGAGGAAAGGTGCGAGAAAATATTGGCCTGCGAGGAGGCGGAAGCGTGGGACAAAGAGGAGAGAGAGCGTAACGGAATTGGACGGAGGACATTTTCTTGTTACATTACAAGAGGCGGGAAGAGAGAAAGATAATAAACATTTATAGAAGAAATAGAAGGAAGGGAGTGGCAAAAGGTGTAATTAAGAGGAATGGAAAGGGTAAATGGTTGAGAATAGACAGTGGATTTTCGTGTATAGCCAAGGGAAGAAGTGTGCTCGTTTCTGGTTAGTTCTGGAAAGCATGTCAACAGGTTTCTTTCCATGGACGGTGACACTTTTCTACGGCTTTTATTCCTTTATTTTTTATTTATATAGGTGTGTTTAATGTTATAATTTAAGGGCTTCTTTTACACGTGAAGAAACAAATTACTTTCTTTTTCTAATTATGATTAATTTTTAATAACTAAAAATTATGTAACGTGAAACACAGTGATAAAAAAATAATTCTTTTGAACTAGCGAAAAGACGTATGCGCTAATTATGATTAACTTTTAATAACTAAGAATTATTTAATAGTTAACCATTATGAAACGTGAAACGCAATATAAAAAAATAATTCTTTTGAAATAGTGAAAATATGTCATTGTTTCGTAATTATTTGTTATATTGTATGTGTTTTCTTGTCTATTTCACTTTTAATTAAAATTATTAAATTAAAATGAATTAATTCTATCTCAATTTTTTTCTAAAATAAAATAATAATATTTTTTCCAAAATTAAAATCAAATTTATTATTTATATAAATATTTTACTGGTATTTATATTAAAATTTAGTTTTATATCAAATATTTTTGAAATTATTTTTAAATTAACACTCATAATATTATTGAATTTCATTTAAATTAATAATTTTTAATCTTATAAAAAATATAGATTAATAATATAATAATTTTAAATATTTACTTTTTAAAATAAAATTTGAATTTATTTAATAAATATAATAATATCTATACGATAAAGTAACGTCTGACTTCAAATAAAATAAAATATAAATAAATATTTATCTGACTTAAAATAGTAAAATTTAAAATGAAAATAATTTAAAAACAAGTTTTATTATATAATTTAAATATTAAAAATATACAATCATTAACTTTCAGTTTAAAAATAATTATTTAATTAGTTTTGAAATAAAGATAAATTATTATGTAATGATTAAAAACATAGATACTCATTTTTCTCAAAACAAGTATTATAGCTGTTGTTTGGAAAAGAAGTTATGTAAGCCTTATTTGAAAGTATTTATTTATCTATAACATTAATAAATGAGATTTTCCTTGTATATAAATTACTACAAGTGATGATATCACTTTTTTTATTTAATCGTTTTTTAACTTAAGCGTTCTATTAAATTAAAATAAATGTCTACAATAGAAAAATATTTACAAAATAAACAAAAATTATTTATAATAAAATTTAAAAAAATAGTTGCATTTACTTTTAAATTATAATAATAATTTTATTGCTTTTTGTTATTATAAAATATAAGTTGACACACACCCCATGTTTTCATAACAAATTATAAAATTACAAAATTAAAACATTTTTTAAAATTATTTTTACCTTTTAAAATAAAGTATATGGTTACATGAGTGAATATATGAAAATGAGAGTGTTTATTGCGAGAAAGGAAATGCTGAATGAAGTGTTACAACTGAGAACGTGATGGTGCCCCTATCTATGAGTTAGGGTTTCTGTGTGAAGATTGTCAGAGCAAGCGGCCCGTGGATGGAGTCAGAACGTTATTTTTCCACCAGTGGTTAGGTTGTGCAGTATACTTTAATTCTTATAATTTATTTATGTACAAGACCTACAAAACATATGAAATGAAAGTTGTAATACATCATTAATATCATCTTCTTCAGACATGATCAAAATCAACTTCTTTAAAGTTTTGCTTAATTTTCCAATTTCAACAAATTCCACATTTACAATACCTTTTTCAAGATACCTAAAACTCATTTACTGTTATGCTCGAGCAATAATTCTCCAACACTCTATGAAAACTTTTCAAATGCATCAACACGTTGTCTACAACTCAATGCTTTCAAGTCGATTAGAAAAAATAAGCACACTTGTCTGTAAACAACAACTCATTCTTAAAATGGTGTCTAATCTCATCGATGCATATAAAGGGTGAGTGAATTAATCTAACAAAACAAATGTTTTTCTATATATAAAGCTCGTTTTGTGCTTACATTAGAAAAATGTCATAGTGGCATTTATAAATGTTATAGTGAGACATAAAAAAATTCCGAGGATTTTTTTCCTACAAATTATGTTTTCTTCCTGCACTTTTAGCGGGAAAACATTAGACGAAGTGGCATTATGAGTAATTTCAAGTTTATATTTTTTTTTTCGAGAATAAGCTCATTCTTTTACTATCATGTTGTATAATTGAGTAACATTTTGCTTTGTTACATCTTCTTGTATTTTATGTATGAAGTTGTTATGTTTTTTTGTCAAAGTGTTGTTTTGTCAAGTACTAATAATGAGTAATTTCTTTTTTTTAAGATGATTTTGGTAAAAATTTTGACTTTGAATGAAAAATGGTGTAAGTTGATTCTAATACTAACAAAATTACTAGTTATGAGATGTATATAAGTTTTTTATAGAGAAATATTGTTGAAGATTTTCTAAATAGACTTCTAAGAGAGAAGTGAGTCACAGTAAATAAAGTTAAAAAACCTTTTCAGACAAAGTTTTCCTCAATCCCCCCTTCTTAGACAAAATTTTCCCCAGTCCCTTTATACAAATTTTCTTTAGAAATCCTCAATAATGTTAATACTCTACCATAGAATATCGCTCGGTCTTCATCTTTTTTTCACCCTAGTTTTTTCTGGTACCTTTTGCACAAGGTTGATCATTTATTCAACATTCTTATACATCTAGGATTTTGTGGTTGAGATTGATTTATAAGTTATTATCATTTTGAGTTTCATCACAACTTCATCTCCAAGATGGTGTATTATGCTCTCAACAGCCAAACTATCGCGTTCTTGTTGGAGAACTCCAAGTTTTGATGAGAGAGGAGAATTTGTAGTTTTAAAGTTGCAATTGCCTTTTGAACTTTGATCAGTGCACAAATTGGTTTAAAAGCTTCACGAGTGGTTGGTATTTGATTGCAAACTTTGATTGACACAATTATATATCCACAATTTTTTTAATAAAATACTCATCATAAAAAAAAATTAATGTAGAAAATAGATGGAGTATGAAACTAACACTCCTTAAATGCTTTGCAAAATTTTGATCATAAATGTTGATGATACTACGAGCAAGATGGTTATTGATTGTGATTAAATATCTTTTACCCAAGGTGATGATAGTATAAAATGTAAAAGTTCAATAAATTTTATCTTCACAGTGGACACCAAATATTCTTATCACAATTTTGTCATATTAATCTAAGTCCACGCACTGGTACTCTGATAGTCAAGTCAATAAATAATATCTTGTGAGTATGAGAATAAAAAATAATATTGAGTTAGTATACTTTCTCTGATATCACATTATTTAGAAGTTTACGTGAACACGATACTATAACAACAAATAAAATAAACTTAAAATATAATAACAAATTAACAAATATATTAATTGAATTTAGTTTATTATAAACTATATTTTATTTATATTATCATAAATACCAATTTTCCAAATTTTAAAAATATTAATATTTCATACAAATTTTACACATGCTATTAACCTAAGCATAATAATATATTTGGAGTGTGGAATGTATAATTTTTCAAAGTATCTCACATGACACAATTTACAATAAACTTTACCTTTGTTCGTAGCCTCACAACAAATAATAATGTTTTTTACACTTATTTATGTCCCACTTATTATTGATCCTCTAAAATATTATAAATATTTACTTATTCTATTAGTCATTACATTTTTTTTAATGTCTCAATAGGTCCCTATTTTCGTCCAGAATCTCAAATAAGACCCTTTCTTCTCTAGCGTCTCAATTGGGTCCTTATTTTTGTAAAATTGAATCAAATAAGGTCTTTACGTCAAATTGATCAGACAACGTTAAGTATTGTGTCACCTGACATGCTGACAGTGTTGTTTTACCACACGTGTCATTAGAAACGTGGGTGAAGTCTATTATTTTAAATTTAAATTAAAAAATTAAATTAAAAGAGTGAAAATTCAAATACAAAAAGGGCAAAGTTCGAAATTCAAATACAAAAAGGGCAAAGTTCGAAATTCAATTACAGAAATCATCATTCTCTCTCAATTTTAAACCTCTCTTATGCCGTTTTGAAATTATATTAAAAAAAATTAAAAAACAAAAATATATTTTCTTCTTCTTCCTTCACTAACTGCATCTTCTACGAAGCCTGCACCACTTCAAAACCACTTTACAAAGCCTGCACTAGTGGTGGCACCAGGACACAACCATGGGAGATCGCGGAAATGTGAAACTATTGGAGTTGGGAGGACATCGATTCGTTGGTCTCACAGTCATTAAACAGAGAAATAAAAATATGGTGAAATAAAAATCTTTTTGGAGTTGAAATCTGGTGAGCCCATGAGACAAAGTCCAAAAATAAAAATTAGAGAGAAAGAAAAAGTGAGGGCTTTGGTCGTGGAAGAATGATAAAACGGAGATGGGTGGCAGAAGGTTGAAAAACAAAGAAACCATGGGCATTGAATCGGTGGCGCCGTCGCCACCACCTCCGAGATCGGAAGGAAAAACCAATTTGCTCCAAAGCCCCAAGATACCCTTCTCACTGGCTCTTCTCTTCGTTGACGCCCTCCTCGTCACTTTTGCTGACGCTCATCTCTTCAGATACGAAGATAGATTGGGACGCTTACATGTCACAGGTTAGCAGATTTCTCAAATGGGAGAGAGACTTTCGCAACCTCAAAGGCGACACTGGTCCTCTCGTCTACCCTGCTGGCTTTCTCTACATTTACTCTGCATTTCAGTATCTTACCCAAGGACAAGTTTACCCTGCTCAGGTCACGCATTCAAATTATTCTATTTCTCATTCTACTCAGTTAATCTGGGCCATTTGCCTGCTTTCTCTATCCAAGAGAGTTCATTCCATCTTCGTGCTTCGTCTGTTTAATGACTGTGTGGCCATGACACTTCTTCAAGCAAGGGCGTCCAATTAATTGTAACCTTATCCATTGACATCTACTCGAACAACTTTTGTGGATGAGTGACGAACCCTAAAATTCAAAATTTCTCCAATTTCATTTCCATATCACAATTGCAGAGAATGAGGCTTTCTTAATTGAATTTTCTACTTTGCCCTTACTTTATTTGAATTTCCACTCTTTTAATTTAATTTTTTAATTCAAAATTTAAAATAATAGAATTCACTCACGTTTTTAATGACA